ATATTAGTAGGTAAATAAATAAATATATATTATAAATTATATTTTACATTAACATTTTTTAACGTCATCTTTAACGTGTATAACGAGGTCAAGTGTAATTGCAGTATTTCGATATTGATGATTGACTGTCCGCATTGTGCGAAGATCTGTAGTTGTTACTGTTACATAAACTTTAGATTTTTGAGTACGAGTAATGAATATTGAAATATAGCTCATATATGAATTAATTGAACTTATTATTACAGATCGAGTTACATCGAGTGAGAGAGAGGAGGAGAGAGAGAAAGAGAGAGAGAGAGAGAGAGATGGTTTCGTTTGTCCTTTTGAAGAGTATGTAAAGAGTTTTCAATGTCGTTTAGAAAACTTTATTAGGTACGTACGTTAGTATCAAAGTATAATTATTTCATATAGGTTATGTTTCAATATTTATTGTTTGCTCGTACAAATCTAAGATATACGTTACTGTAACTATATAGATTTTTAATACAGACAGTAAATTATATTTATCCTTATAATAATATATTTTATATATAAGCATATGTAAGTAATAATTATTGCTTTTGCATTATGTTGTAATAATGTTGGGTTACGTTCAATTAGTGGAAGTATTTTAATATTTATTATTACATACTTGCATTGTGTGAGAACTCTTTCACTGGCTGAACGTAACACAATAAAACTGCAACATAATGCATACACTGAATCAATGATTATATATTATGATATATTTCAATGATGAGAATTGTTTTTGTTTAAATAATTATCTGTGGATATAAGAAACTGAATTTTATGCGCATAATATTTATCATTTATTTTTGTCAGAGAGAAAAAAATAAAGAGACTAATAAAAAAAGAGACTAAAAGAGACTAATAGACTAATAGAAAAAATAATATAACGTTTTGAATAAATTGTGATACACCGTTTGTTTCGATTCTGACCAGATTTTTTTTAGGCATATCTGATAAGTTAGTCAATAAGTGATACGAGATACAAGTAAAAATATTGTAATTGCCTACATGCATCAGAAATCTAACGATTGATCATACATCCTTTAGGATTATACGTAGAGATACTTTGGACGGCAGTGAAGATCGTGTTCGGGATTTACCGCTAAGAGGTGGTCATCAGGGAGGTGCCGGTAATTCAGGGTATATGAGTGGCAGACAAGGTCGTCTTCCAACATAACGTAAAGATCGTAGATACGAATGTCGTCTTACTACTGATAACGAAGACACTGTTTTACAGCCAGATTTTAATGGAAAGCGGTAGCTTCAAGAAATTCCAGTTTTTATTTTCGAATATACTTTTCACGTAATTTAGTGTCTTTTCTTTCTTTCTTTTTTTTCTTTTTTTTTTTTTTTTTTAAATTATTATATATATATATATTTTTTTTTACTTTTACTACAGTCTAAACATACTATATTAAACTTTACGATTTGTAACAATTTGTAGTATGGTATATTTAAGTAAAATATTAAAATTATGTTTATATAACTGGCATGTAAATAAGATAATTTCTTTAACATAAAATAATACATGTAATATTTATACAGGGGAAAATAATCTTTAATCAAGGATTTGTTGGTCGTCCAATTTGTGATATACAAGTTTCGGTAAAGAAATTGAACTTAAAAGTCAGAAGTTATGATCTGCAATCACTCTGCAGTGCTACTAAGTTATACGATACTTGTAAAATTGGTATTATATTGTTCATCTGACCAAATAACTTAATTTTGACAAATATTTAGGTATTAAAGATGAAGGAACACGAATGTAAAAAGATCACGTCAGCGGAAACTCCATCGTTCTTCAATACAGTGGACAAAGTGCTAAATCTAATGCATGTGACGTTAAAAGAAGCAAAATACATTATGACTATAGTGATGGATCTCAATGTTATATCGCTCGCGCTTCAAATCATTTGTTTAGCAGGTACATTCATTATATTTCTTATTTCACTTATAAAATATAATAATGCAATTATAATTAAATAATGAATGAATATAGGTAACATTTTATCAAGGACGCTATTAGGCAGAAGAGCGGAGAGAAACGAATATGCATGTAACAACAGATATTCGTTTAATTTGAAAGATTACATAACGCTGGATAAGAAAATTGAAAAGAAAGGGCGAGGCGATGGTGAGATCTCAATATATTTTTATATATTGTCGTTATTACGAAACTAGATATATGTTAGATCCCTGTTGCAAAGAACCGATAGAAACTGATAAAAAAATATATTCTATCTGAAAATAATGTGTTTTTGTCCTTGGAATCTCTCATAACTTCTGATAAAATTGATGATTTTTGGAATTTGTTGATTCAATCAAATTTTATATGTATCTATCACAACTCATACAAACAGATAGAACTCCAAAGAGACTCGACGCAGGTCAATCTGAGATTGCAGATATTCTTCAAACTTTGGTCGTCTTTTATCTGCAATTGCAAATAATTTTAATGACTTGATTGTTTTTAATCAGCAATTGCACATACCTTAAAATTTAAATTTTTTATTGAACTCAATCGGAATAAACTTGCACTTACAAGCTAGGATTTTATCAGGACTTACAACACGATCAATATATAGAGATTATAGAGGAACGTATATGTTTTAATCAGATTTCGGCAGCAATCATTCTGTATATGGACTGTCATATTTAAAAAGTATCTTTGGTTCAAAGAGCGTGAATCCGTATCTGCAAAGTACTTTTTAAATGCACATATTCGTATTGTGAAAAGTTCGACCTCAATACAAGGCTTCGATTCTTATCAGTAAATACGGTTAAATAAGTGTCTGTTTACATCGGATTTTTCCAATGCAGTCACTTTTCTAGATGAAACTGCCTTCAATCGGTCGCTATATGGATTCTCGGGTCGAAAATTAGTCATTCGACGATTTATCCGTATTTACAAACAATTTTTTATCTGCACCTATCGGTGTGCATTTGTGCTTTGTGAAAACCTCACTCTAGTTTGTATCAGTAAATACGGGTTAATTAAGTATTAGTTTACATTGGATTTTTTAAGATGACACCAGTTTTTCAAATTCTTTAAGTACGAACCTATCTGTTTCTATCTGTCCGTATCGGAGTCTGACGATATCTGTTCGCAATTGAGGATAATGTTTGTGTACACGTGAGAGTGAGACGACGATAGAGCAAGAAAGCGAGAGAGCAAGAAAAACTACAGAGCGCGAGAGAGAGAAAGTAGAGAAAGCAAATAATGAGATGTAAAAAGATGCTTACCTTTTTCTAATTTCGCAGCGACGACGACGAATCGCAATTCCGTCGGCGCCAAAGTGCCGCAAACTTCGCCGGCCGTGCGGTAGCCCACCGTGGAGTCACACACAATACGCGCACCTCACACACACACTTATTTTACTTTTTCTTTAACTAAGAAAATGCGCTTTAAACTTCAACTGAATATATTTTTTTTTGTCACCGGACGGCATACGCGAAAAATCCGACAGTCTAATGAATAAAATATTGCTTAGCAACAGCACATAAAAACAGACTAGCGTATGTTCGGATACTCACCGATACATGCAGATAGAAAGTACTTTTGCAAATACGAATACTGCCATATAGCAACCAATAGCAATCGATTAAGATTATGAGCACAAGCGCTGAATTCGTTCAAAATACATTGCTCTTTTATTTAGCATCTTATCAAGTAGATAATTATGAGAAAAACCAATAAACACAAGACAAGATATCTTTTCACTCAATCGGAATTATCTCATAGATTCCAATAAAAAGAAATCATTAGATCATCCTATTGAATACAATAAATAGTATACTTAGAGAATGCATATAAAATCTAATAAGAACAATTTGTTACAAAATGATATGTTAAAGTCAAAATTCGTATCAGCAAATGCTTTTAATAACATCTAAAGGTATATCATAAACGTATCAGAAATGACCGATATATCCAACGTCATACTTAAAAATCTCAAAATTTGAAAATCCCGATAGAATCTTATAAATATTTTATATTGTGTCTGCAATGCCACATTAAATATCAACTAGTAAATGCCAATTGCTGCAGACCTATCTGGAAAATCTGCTTGATTCATATTAAAAGAGTAAATTTCTATCAGAAAACTGTGTGTTTTTGTCCTTGGATTGCCAGATTCACTTTTATAAAAAATTAGTCCTTTACATATCTGTAATCACTCATAAGACGATATAAATGTACTTTCATTATGGATAAGCTTTTGCCACTAAGATCTGATGGAAACAAATTGTGGACTTTTCGTATTAATGCGCATTCGCTTCCAAACAGTCAAGTATGTTCAAAACCTATCAATTTACAACATATGTAAATACGTATAGAAAAATATTCAAATAAAATCGATAACTGCATATAAATATACACAGCTGTCGATCAGTGTGTCGATGCTGTTTGAATCCAATAAATCGCACATTCGTAAATCTTAATATAATCCATTATGCACATGAAAACAATAGAATCGGATACATTCCGTAACAGATTATCCTCATAGTGACCGCGTGCTTGTAGATTCCGATAAATCCAAATCAATTGTCAAAGTCTCAATTTTGTTGTACTGATAAACCAGATGGAATCTGATAGACTTTTTATCGTTGTCTAGAAGTTTCTATCGGTCTTTTGCAACAGGGATGGCACGCGTAGAAAAAAAGCTGCGGCGTATGCTGGAGGCCTCGTACTTGATCCGAAGAAAGGTTTCTATGACAAGCTGGGACTGCTGATGGGCTTCAATTTTTGGTATTGTACAAGATGTATTAATCCGAGTATTATA